CCCCAAAACCCCAAAACCCCAAAACCCCAAAACCCCAAAACCCCAAAACCCCGGTTTGATTGCATAATATTGAAAAATAATTTTTATTCTAACACTGGTGATCTTGAGCCAAATAATTAAACCTTTGTTATAAAGCACTCTAGTTTGCAAAAAAGTTATCTTAAGATGGATATAAGTGATCCAAGAAGACAAAAACTATGCAGAGTCCATGTATACTTTGGTAGTTGATGCAAGGCCCAAGTGATTGATACTACAAAGAAATTTGATGACAATATGAGCTCCATCCTTGAGAACTTCAATCTTGGCGACAGAAAGAACGATTACTGATTGAAGCTCACTTCAGGAGGCATAGTCGAACGAAATGATGTTTTGTTCCAGGAAGATAAAGTCTGAATACTACTCAAAGGCAAGGCTGTGGACAAATACGAGAAGGAATTCAACCTCAAAGATGTTGAAATGGCTCTCCATACTGAAAATAATCCAGAAGGTGACGGTCTCAAGTACAAAACACCACTCACTAAGAAAAGAGGCAAGGATTTATTGGATGAAAATGAGGAGGATTACGTGCCTGAAAATAGCACACTTGTGGAGAAGATAGACTATGATAGCCTTGAATGTATCCTTTTGTCCAAGAAATTAACAAACTATAAGGACCTGCTTGATGTTGTCAATAATGAATGGGCTAAAGCTCTAGGGTTCAGTTTGAAAATGAAAAGATCTCCAAAGGACAACTCAGATGGCAGCAAAACTCTCAGGATTTACTGCTGTAAACATGGAGGATCTGGTAGAGGGTACTGAAAATTTGCTATCACCTTCAAGTTTGATGAGAAGAAGGAGTTTTGGCTACTCTATCAGGAGTACAATAAACTCCAGTTTATTCATAACCATTCATGAAATGAAGGAAATGAAAATGAGCAGAATGTTAGATCATTTGTATCTAACTATTCCAAGAAAGTATCGAACATTTCAAAGATGAATGATCTGATCCAGGATACATACAATGCACCGAACGATAGCCAGGTTGTCAAGATTGAAGACCCCAATGACGAAGAACGCATGGCCGATGAAGATATGGTCAGGCTTGTCGAGCTACTCAAAAGGAAGACCAAGGAGGATGACATCCTTGAAATCATCAAGAGTGATGAGCAGAGCAACAAGGTCGGTATGCTCTTTTGGTCTAATGAAGAAATGAGAAACAAATATCTTGCTTATAGAGACATCGTCTTCATCAATCGGAGGATTACAAAGAACCGATTTGGACTACCCATGTTCCTAATTTACGTCATTACAAGTGATGGAAAGAATCAGCTTGTTGGATTCTGACTTATTAGTAAGGACACCCAGGATGCTTACAGACTATTGTTTGAAAGATTCAAAGATTACATGGCTGATAAAGCTCCAAAAGTAGTTCTTGTAGAAAGACAATTGATACTTCTTAGAGCTATTAAAGATGTATTCCCAAAGACAAAAGTTTTGTTTGATCCATGGCATTTACAGAGATCTCTCCAGAAGCAGTTTGAGAGCCACGATGATAAATTTCTTCACGAAGTGGCAAATCTACCCCTTGAACCAAACGTCAGGGTCCTTGAAGAAGGAATTGAGAAAATGAAAACTTACGATTTTAAGGAAAGCTATATCAAGAGTCTTTCTGAAAAGCTAATCAACGAGAAAGAACTATGGTCTGTTGCTTACCAAAAGACATTCTTTACTGGAGGAATATGAGTTTGTCAAAGAAATGAGCTCCTCAAGACTCATCTTAGACTATATCTACTTGAGAGAAAGTACCCAGTATCTGATTCTTTCAGCAAGCTTATCGGTCTCAATGAGAAGGAATTCAAGTATACAGAGGAATTCTCAAGTATTGATGGAAAATTCAACACAGTTTTTGGAAAAGTGCCTTTAATCTCAGTGTTTGCGAAGAACTATCTTTCCCATTATGCATACCAAAAACTCAAATTTGAAGTGGCAAAAGCTACCAAATTTGAAATAGTCAAAAAGAATGAGAACCAGACAGTAGAAGAACTCAGGACGCAAAACTCCTGGAAGATCAGGTCTATGGGAATTCCAGATACAGAGGCTAAGATTTATGAATGTGTCAGGATTCCATCTCCCTTAATTGACTTAAGTCAGATGAAGAAAGGAGGAAAGACAGATACAATTGTGGTGTGTTCCTCCTTTGAAAGAACCAACAGTGGGCTTCCCGATACTCCTATTCTCACTCTCTTCCTTCGGAACATCATCGATTTTGAGGAATTGGTCTTCCACAAAAGATGGTTTAAGGATTATGAGTGTGAATACAGATCTAAACTTAATGAGAACCTCCTATCTCAACTTTGAGAGGCTGAGACAGCTCTTGGTGAATACTCAGTTATGTGCTCACTCAAAGGACTAGCTCTGCAGGATAGTAAACACTCTAAATGAGATGATGAGCCTACAAGTGATCGTACACGAGACTCTATGAAGCCTGAATATTTCTCCAAAGACAGCATCATTGGTGCACTGAAGAAAACCAGGAGAACCAGGGCTGACCTCATCAAATCTATTTCTCATAGCAACAAGCTCACATTCGAAATTGTGGAGGAAGCCAAGGAGCAAGGTACCAATAAGGAAACCAAGAAGAAGGAAGTCAAAGAGAGAAGGATCGAGGACATCCAATTCACTACTAAAATAGAAATCGATAATTCTGATAAAGCCCAAGAATCAGACGAAGAAATGACCTTTGATGAAGTCAAGGAAGGCATAAAGAAACAGAAAGTGACTACTCCTGTTGAAGACAAGGATGTTGAGATGAAAGATGAATCCAAACCTGCTAAACTTTCGAAAGAGTCTAAGTCTTCTCAACCTTCAAAGGAAATCAAACCTCCAGTTATCAAAAAGACTATTAAAGTTGAAAAGCAAAAGAAGGAAACAAAGGATAAGCAGAAGAAAGAAAAGATCAGCTCTCAAAAGTCTAAATCTGATAAAGGCTCAAAACCAGTTGTTGCAAAGAAAGATCCTCCCAAGCTAAAGGAGGAAAAGGAAGAAAAGAAGCCTTCTGATATTAAGAAGAAGCCTCAACTAGACAAGAAATCCGCTGCAGTCGAGAAAAAATCTCCTAAAGTGGAAAAGAAATCTCCCAAAATCGAGAAGAAGAAAGAAGAATCAGCCTCAGGATCGTCATCTGAAGAAGAGGATGACTCTAAGAGTCAGAAAGAGTCTTCCTCAGACGCCTCCAAAAGTGAGGATGAAGAAGCAATCAAAGAACCAGTAGAGAAGACTTCAACTAAATCACAAGAAAAATCTGAAGAAGAAAGCGAAAGCAGTGAAGCCGAAGGCGAAGACACTGATAGTAGCGAAGAGGAGGAATCCAGTGAAGAAAGTGAAGGCAAAGAGAAATCTAAAGAAATCAAGAAGACCAAGGAGGAAAATAGCCAGAAATCAACAGGCAAAAATAACTCCCAAAAAGGAGCCTGCGCTTCCAAAGTTACAGTAGAGAAGATAGAGCAGAGTGAAGAGGAAGATGACACCTCCTCTGAAGAGTCCTCCTCGTCTGAAGAAGAAGAAGAGGAAGAGGAGAAAGCTACTAAAAAGAGAGACGTCAAGGCTCAGGAGAAGGAAAATGAAGAAAGTGAGTCCTCCTCGAGCCAATGTACTGATACACGAGATGAGAAGTCTGAACCAAAGGCCAAAGCTAGTAGATTAAAGAAGGAGGTAGCTAAACCAGTTGCTAAAGCTGGTGTGAAGAGGAAGAGACAAGCTACAGGCAGCAAAAAGAAGTATCTAAGATAACTGGCATAATTCTAGATTCAAACTTTTTTGTATAAATTTCAATATCAGGCGATTTTAAAGGGGTTTTGGGGTTTTGGGGTTTTGGGGTTTTGGGG